GCCAGTTCGGTCAGGCGCATGAGGCGCAACATGCGGCATCAAGCGCGCAGACACAGGCGGCGGCTGGTTCTGCCGCCTTTGTCGTAGTTCCTCGCCGTGCTCCCATGCCCACGTGAGGGCCCCCGCATGAGGGTCCAGAGGGGTGTGAGTCTACAAGGACTCTGCTACCACCAGTGGCTGTCCCGGAGCGTCTGCCATAGCGCACTCCTAGAACGGACGGTGGCCATGCGCCACGTCGCCGATGCTGGAGCCGTCACTCTCAACCTTGTCATCTAGGAGTTCGTAGAAACAGGTGGGAGCGTAGCTCGCCATCCCCATGAATTCGGATGTGAGAGGAGGCGGCGTCAGCATTTTTCAGAGCCCCCGGGCATACGCGTCCGCGGGGGATGCGAGGCCGTAGGGGAATCGGTCGTGTGGTGGTTGTGGTACGAACAACGTGGTCCCTTCGGATAATTGACGGAAAATAGTAAATAGCGAGTAAATAACAGTATGCACATTACTCACAGTGGGGTTTGAACAGAGAGTTTGCTCGAAATGAAGCGCAGATGCTGCATCGTTGAAGTCATCATGCGTCCCGGAGCCAATGGAGGGCGCCCCTCCGACGGGTACCGGAACAAATGCCTTCTCGCGGAGGTGTAGTACGCCGAGCCGGTCGGCGACAAAGTCTAGGCTTTCGAAGAGGAAGGCCTGGGATGGCTTGAAGATGGGTGGAACCCACATCCCAACAGGTGGGAGTGCGGGAAACTCCAGTGAGCCGAAGCGAGTCGACCTGAGCCCGCCATGGCGAAGGTGGCGTAAAAGTGGGCCATCCGATGACCAAAAAGTGTTCAACGTACACCGTCTTCCCCATGGACGGCGCCAATTGTCGGTGCAGAAAGTGACCAACAAGTAAATATTTGTAGTTTTACCGTACGTTATGATCGGAGGTGGCCTAGCACTTAATGACACAGGGTTTATACTAGTTCGGGTAACGTGCCCTACGTCCAGTTGGAGTTGGTCGGTGACTTTATTCCTAAGCCCAGGTGCTCGAAGTTTGCAGTGGGGTTACAAACGAGAAGAAGAAAGATGGGGGGTACAAGAGGTCCGGTCGGACTCTGGTCAGAGGGACCAAAAGCGACGGGAGCTCCACTATGAGGTAAGTGTTTGAGCGTGTGCTCGTGGTTTGAACCTGGTGGTCCTACTGGTGTGTGCTAGTGAACTTGATCGATCTAATGAATCTGAATCAACTTGAATCAACATGCCTGTTGGGAGAGAGTGCATCCCCTTTTATAGATGAAGGGGATGGCCTTACAAGTGAGAGGGAGAGAGTACGTATGCTTCTAAGCCTTGTTGCCCACGCTGGCGAGCACAGGATGATGGTAGGCGCCCACAATACTGTTGGATGTCAGATGCACGTGGGAGGATGTGTTGTCTTCTTCGGGTATGGCAGACATCGGCACCTGCCACACTATTGGTACCCAGAGGCATGCAAGGGGTTTTACCATGTTCTCCTGGTACAGTAAAAGTCGGCGCCCACAACACTGTCGATGCCCAGAGGCATATGGGGGAGCCTAACCGTATGGGAGTTAATGGCACCCACAATACTGTAGGGGAAAATGTCAACGCCTACAACACTGCTTGGGCTCTGTTGTGCCAGGGAGGTTGCAGAGTACTATTTCTATAGGTGAAAAGAGTACGGTCCCCGGTACTGCGGTTTGACTTGTGCGCCCTGCCTTACTTTCTCCGTCTGTTCCTTGGTTTTTTCCGAGCGGGCGTCCCCGGTCGGTTGGTTCCAGTCGGCTCTGATCGCGCCAGTCGGAGAAGAGCAGTGAGCAGGGTCTGGCGCACCCCCGGTCGAAGACGTGGGTCGGAGTCAGAAGCGGTGTTTTGGCCAGGCCTTTCGGTCGGAGAGGCCATCCAGAGGCGGGTTGGAGACCGAAGCGAGTGCTCCGGTCAGAGAGGTGGGCCGGAGTCGGAAGCGGGTGCCGTTCCTCCTCGGTCAGATCTTCCGATCGGTGATTGGATTGCCCTTCTGGCCTGTCATTTAGATACTTGGGCCAGCCCATGAGTTGCGCGTTCTTTGCAACGTTGCCAACTGGGGCGAGCCCCTATTGGGAAGCCGGTCCGTGAGGGACCCCGGATTTATGAACCCGACACTTGTGTTCTTCGTTGCGCAGGTAAGGATTAGCCTTCTTGGTGAGATCAACCAGATCTGTGACTCGGTTGATAACCAGAGGAGTTGTGGTGCTAAGATTACAGGGTTTGATCTTTCGATCTGAAGCCGGATCGGTGTGTCATTCTCCGCCACAACGATAGTTACCTCTACCTGACGGAAGATCAGGAAACCCATCCCTAGTAAGTGGTATCAGAGCTTCAGGTATTACTGTCAGGTTTATCATTACCCTAGTTTTGTTTTGTCTTTGTCCTATAAATCCCAAAAATTGCCCCACAAAAATATTTGTGTTAATCTTTGTTTTCTCCCTATCCTATCACCCGTTGTGCCGTTGCTATATTTTTATTTCAGTTTGCTTTATTGAACGGTCGTGATGAGGACATGACACCCATGCATACGACCATGTTTGGCATATGGTATAGAGAGGTAGGAGGCCAGCAAGGGTGTCCAAGTCAAGAAGGAGGCCCGAGGCTAATTTGGTTCGAGTCCCTGAGGTGGAGGCCCAAAGCAACTCAAGTTCAAGCCTGTCTCTGAGTCCAGGAGCAACACGTACTAAAAACAACGCCGAGGTCGCATACAGTGTCCGTTTTGGGCGTTCTTTATATGGATGGAAAGATAATTTCATGGACCTTCCAATGGCACCGGTCCCACCTTAAAATCCGATCGGAGTGAACAGGAATCGTTGAAACAAGTGGACGTCCAGAATCTATCAGGGTGCTGCTCCACCGTCTTTTGGGCCGTTGGCCCGTGTATCGTGTTGGAGCCCATAGGGGCACATCTAGGGGGGGTCTCCACGACCTAACCCTCATATATTCAGTAGCTGTCGCCACATTAGGGTTTAGGGTTTTGCTTAGATTAATCTGTCAAGAATAGTTTCGTCGTTCATCGGTTTGTGAGACCCTAACATCGTGAGATTAATCATTCATCTGCAATTTGGTTGTTTTCTTTCTTGTTCTTGCTTGTGTTCTTCGTTGCATCGGCAAGGATTAGCCTTCTTGGTGAGGTCAACCGGATCTGTGACTCGATTGATAACTAGAGGAGTTGTGGTGCTAAGATTGCAGGGTTCGATCTTTTGATCTGAAGCCGAATCGGTGTGTCATTCTCCGCCACAAGGATAGTTACCTCTACTTGACGGAAGATCGGAAACCTGTCCCCATTAGACGTGTTTTACAACAGGTAGCAGAGTTGCGGAGGCTAACATGGTGGCGGCGTGGCGACCTTAGAGTGGAGTGGCGGCGGCCGACGAGACGATTCTCGGTTTCTCTCGTCGAGCATCGGGAGCCGACGCGTGGTGTGATCGAGTCTGGTCGCTGGTGGAAATCATAAGAATGTCCATAGTTCTTTTCCTAGTGTTCACGTGTGGGCCCAAAAAGTAGAGGGGGTCTACTGCCAACGACCAGGGCCTAGCTAGGCCCTAGAATCTTAGAGTAATTCTAATAGACTCTCTATATCAGAGATTTTGGTGCAAAAATACCCTTCAACGTTTGTTTATTTGGTTATCTAAATATAGCCATCTTTTATTTTGGATTTCTCGCTAGCCAAAAATGAAAAATGAGAATAACTCTCTAGAGTGAAAATAAGATATAGTAGAAAAATTGTTAAAGATTGGAAAGATATAGAAAACGATTTTTATGCAAATGACTCTCCAAATTATAATTAGAGAGTGAGTGAGTTTAGAAAGAACTTTTTAGAGATGTGCTTAGGCCCAAGTCCCCTTGCATCGTGACCTAGAGCTCGTGACTCGGAGCATCGTCACCGCCACCGCCGCCTGCACCACCGCTGGTCCCCCTCCCTCTGCCTCTGGCATATCGCCGAAGGCCAAAGGGAGTGGGGATCCATCGTTTTTAATAAGTTTTTCCAGTAGATCGAGTCCTTAGGGTTAGAGTCTCTCCATGTTAAGTTTTTTGGTTTTGGAGATTTATCTTCTCTCCGGCGACGGCGAGAGGATAGGGTGGAATCGTTTTCTTCATGGCATCTTCTGTTGAAGATGAGGGCGACAACTACGGAGTTGGCATCCTCACCGGTATGACATGGAGACTTTTATTTCCGAACGGCAACATCAAGGCGGATATGGTGTCGCCGGCATGGAATAATTTTCTCCGGTCTCTTCTTCGTTTTATTGTGGTTAGATCTGGCCACGATGAAGGATTAGGGAGAATAACTTTCAGATCGGTTTTCCTCATTCTTCGGTGGCACAAAGAAAAAGAAGGAAGACACGAGAAAGAAAAAAATTCTCAACTCCGCCTACATGAATGTTGGCCTACAGCGTGGGTACTATTTAGATGTAATCCAGAGTGCTTATAACGTATTGATATACCTAGCTATTATCTAATATAATTCTTCTTTCGTCGCAAAAAAGGCCCAAGTCCCCCTTGGAGGAGAGGGGCAAAACAGACACGTATCTTGGCGGATACGTCCATTCGTGATACACTCTCTAATCATACAAAAGGATAATATAGTGGACTTTATCATCTGATATGGTGCACTTTAAATTTGAATTACGGATCAGTTTGAAGTCTGATATCATATATCTAAAATAGTTTGAAATCCTTAACTAATTGTCCACCTTCTAGAGTTTCAACAAATATATCCATGACCAAAGATTTCACCCATATATGAGTGAGTTTGGATATTCCGTTATCACAATACACATATTGAAATTTACATTATCAAGAAGACACCAAACAAAAAATCGAACAGGAAACGTGCTGCATTACAATTTGAAATACAATTGTGAACAAAACATTTGCAAATTGAATAAAATAAATAAATCATTATTTAAAAAGGTTATGATCGTCAATTCCTAGATGATCGATCAATAATTTGTCAAGTTTCTTTTCCGTGCATCTCATTCTTCCGACCTCAACTTGCCAATCCTGAGGAAGATGGGGTACGTGACGGTCTTCACCTCCTTCCCGTCGCCGCCCCATGCTGCCGCGAACTCCTGCACGGTGGCCTCGTCCAGCAGCTCGACGCCGTTATCCTTGGCCGTCTGGTACGCGGACCACGACGTGATGTACATTAGGTAGTCATCCAGGTCCATCCGCCGCTGCGTGGAGAACTCGAACGGGCCTGTGTGCGTCTCCCCCTCGACCGGGTCGAACGGGAAGTCGGCGCTCCGATACTCGTCGTCGACCATCCGGCGGTTGAGCGCCCAGTAGTTCTCCGACCCGTGGTACAGGCGCCAGAACACGGCGTCGATGGCGGTGTCGATGCGTGGCTCGGTGTAGCATCAGGCGGCGAGCACGCCGTGGTTGGGGCGCAGCACGGAGCGCGCCTGCGCGTAAAAGCGCGGGAGGTCGAGCCAGTGGAAGGCCTGCGCGACGGTGATGAGGTCAACGGAGGCCGGCGGGGCGACGGTGGCGTGGATCCCCTCGAGGGGCAGGTCCGGCGGGGTGTGGACGTAGCGGACGTTGGGGAGGCGCGTCGCGTAGGCGAGCTGCTGCGCGCTCGTGTCCGTGCCCACCACGGCCTTGTACAGCGTCGCCAGCTGCAAAGTTCAAGCGGGTCTGTCAGCGTCCACACGAGAAATCTTCCTCGGTTTTGCTTGTGTCAAGAAATGGCCGATCAAAGATGCACAGACGACGGTGGCAAGAAATGATCGACTAACCGATGCTGCAGCCTGGCCGTTGCCGGTGCCGACGTCCCAGGCCATGTCGCGGCGAGGTGTCTTGGAGGCGATGAAGTCGAAGAGCTCCGGCGGGTAGACCGGCCGCGTCGCTACGTATTGCTTTGCCTGCTTGAGGAACAGGTTGGCCATCGTCTCAGGCTCTCACACCTGTCAATTTCTTTCAATAATCTCTCTCTGGACTTTGGAGGCAACTGAAGTTATTAGATTCGTCGTTTGGTCTAGTGGTGTTTAACTTGACCAGGTTGAAGCGAGAAGAGGCATGCGCGCTCTTACTTAGGCCTTGTTTAGATCACCTCTAAATTCTAAGTTTTTTCACTCTCTCTCTATCACATCAATTTTTAGACGTATGCATGGAGCATTAAATTTAGGTAAAAAATAACTAATTATACAGTTTGGTTGTAAATCACGAGATAGATCTTTTAAGCTTAGTTAATCTATGATCGAATAAAATTTGTTAAATACAAACGAAACATGCTGCCGTGCTCAGATTGTAAAAATTTGCAATCTAAACACGGCCTTGTACGCAGCGCCGACAGCGACGTCTACCAGGGGATGCTTCTTGGCAGGTGCTGAGTTGCGCGCAGGCCAAGGCAGTGACGGTTTATTCCATTCCACCGGTCAACGGAAGCAGGCTCCTTCCGGCGCGGGTTCATCGGCCAGTGTCCACGTAACAGAAGAACAGCCAACTTTTACTGCTACTTAGCCTTCCAAATGGATAGGCCACGTGCTTAAAAACACTGCACGCGAGCACGTGCAGAGAAGAGAAGAGTTCTAGGACGGCCGTCTGATGGGACGGCGCGGTGATATGGACAGCTGTTATTCCGGTGAAGGTTACCAGAGAGGCCAATATCTTTAGGGAGGCCAATATCTTTGTTGATGCTTTCACACTACTAAAGATCTAGACATCACTGTCGATCTCGTCACTGTCGAATTAGGGTGAACCGGTAGTGATGTACATTTACTGTCGATTCTGAGCTTGAAAATCAGAAAATGATTGGGGCTGGGCCAAAACCGACAGTGAAGGTCCACATCACTGCCGGTTTAGGGCTTACACCGGTAGTGGATTGATGTCTACTTATCACTGTCGGTTGTAGCCAAGAACCGTCAGGCTATCATTATCGGTTCTAGACAAGAACAGATGGTGATAACATCACAGTACAAAAAGCTGACGCCATCCTCTTCTTCCTCCTATCTTCCACCCTGAGCACAGAGACGCGCGTTTTGGCCGCTCCCTCCATTATTTGGAAGAATGGCTACTCTTCACTATGAAGCCAGCTCTTGGATTTGGAAGAATGGCTTGATCTTCTTGCTTTAAGGTTAGTAACAAGCATCCACTCCTTTGATTTTGTTGCTTAATTAGTGTTGTTTTGATGGCTACATTACTTGATTCTCGTTCTAGTTCTTTCTCCATTCTAGAGAGCACTTTTTCAATTGGACTTTGTGCAAGGTTTGCAAGCAAATTACGGTGAATTCATCATCCAAAATGTTGATGTCTTTGAACACATTTGAATTCCTAGCTAATTGCATGGTGGTCAAGATCATTGTTAGTATGTGATGCTATAATTAGTTCTTGATAGGAGTAGATTTTTTTACAATTTTGATGAGCAAATTAATCCATGTGCCACCTACCAACACATTATTTGGAGCTACATTATTGTTCATGATCATATCTCTAATTTTAGTGTTTTTTTCGTTAGCGTCTCCATTTTTATGTAGCATGGAGTAGAATAATTATTCTTTATTATTGTGAAATAATTATTTTTTAATGGTGCTACTATTTTCAATTTATATGGCCGATGCTACCAATTTCAATATTCCAATAATTAGTGTACAATAATATTTTCTAAAAATAGGGTGACTAAATTAAATAAGTGTAGAATAAATTATTATTTCGAGCAACAATTATTATTCATGAAGCTCCACTTGTTATTAATTTCTCTGTAATTACTGTCTCAATATTTTGTTGTGTAGAGATGGATCGAGAGTGGATGTATGGGTCTCGAATGGACAAGCGGTACATGGTTGACGTCGGCAAGTTTCTCACCGATGCCAAAGCCCATGCTAGGAATGGAAACCCTGTCTTCTGCCCATGCAAAGATTGCATGAATCAAAGGAAATGGACTCAAATTGAGTCGGTACGAATGCACTTGATTACCAGGGGGTTCATGCCAAACTATACGATATGGACTATGCATGGCGAGGTTGGTGTGAATGTTCCGCAGAAAAACGATGATGATGTGGCCTTGCCTGATGGGGCCATGCCTGACGTACCCATCCACGATGCTGACAAGGAATCCGGTGTCAATACGGAACCTATGGCCACAGTTAATGATGTGTTTAGGAACACGCTAGCTGACGACACCGAGGATAACGATGGTATTTCTCAGCTGCTATATAATGTAGAGACCGGATGTCTTAGTGAAGGACAACTGAGAAAGCTAGCGAAAATGAGACAAGATGGCAAAACACCATTGTATAAGAATTATCCAATGAGCAAATTGGAAGTCGACATCATGCTGTTAGAATTCAAATCGACAAACAGATTGAGCGATAAAGGCTTCGATCAGTTGTTAGGTATAATAAGGAAAATGCTCCCAGAAAAAAAAGTTGCCAGAAAAGACATACCGGGCCAAGCAAATGATCTACCCCATCAGCTTCGAGGTTGAAAAAATCTACGCGTGCTCCAACGATTGCATGTTGTACCGTGGCGACGAATACAAAGACTTGGATGCGTGCCCCAGGTGTGAAGCTCCACGGTACAAGGAAGAGTCGTCAGATGAGGATACCAAGACCAGAGGAGGTCCTGTTAAGGTCATTTGGTATTTCCCTATAGCCCCCCGGGTGCATAGGCTGTTTGCATGTGCAAAGTCAACCGAGCTGTTACGCTGGCATGGCAAAGAGTGTAAGAAAGATACAATGATGAGGCACCCCGCCGATGGAAGGACTAGAGGACAGTCAATACTGGGTCCTATAAAAACATCGGTGGAGAGGTAAGGCACCTTTGGTTTGGTTTAAGCACAGATGGGATGAATCCTTTTGACCAGGTTAGAAGCAATCATATCACCTAGCTAGTGACGCTCTGTGTATACAACCTTTCACCTTAGCTCTGTATGAAGCGGTCGTACATCGAGATGTCACTACTGATCCAAGGGCCAAGACAACCTAGGAATGACATTGATGTGTTTCTAGAACCAATGATCAATAAACTAGTGAAGATGTTTGAAAAGGGTGTGGAGGATGTTTGGAACGAGTATAAAAAGGAACATGTCACGATCAAGGCAGTACTTATCGGTACAATCACCGACCTGCCAGGTCGAGGTTGCTTGTCCGAAGAGAAGGCAAAGGCTATATTGGATGTGTCAAGTGCTTGGACGACACCGATGCGGTACATCTGCCAAAGAACTCAAATATAGTTTACATGGGATACCGTAGGTTCCTACCTAAGGATCACTCTTACCGTAGTAACAGAGAAGATTTTGACGGGATTATTGAGAAATGCTTACCTCCAAAATATTGAGACGGGCATGTGATACTTCGAGAAGTCAACAAACTAGAGGTTGTCCTTGGGAAGGGGCACAATGTAGTAGCAGCGCCTAATGGGAGCGTCTGGAAGAAAAAATGGTTTTCTAGAAACTACCTTACTGGGCAGTGCCGAGTGTACGCCATTGTCTTAATCCCATGCACATTACTAAAAACGTGTGTCGTAACACGCTTAACACCTTGATGGACACCGAGGGGACATCGAAGGATTCACTAGCCACATGCCTGGACATGCAACACTTGAGAATCAGGAAGGAGCTGCATCCCATGGCACTAGAGGATGGCTAGTTCGAACTTCCGGTTGCGTCGTGGACCTTGAAGAAGGAAGAAAAGCGTGCGCTTATTTCTTTCTTCAATGAACTTAAAGTCCCAACGGGCTACTGTGCGAACCCAAAGAGGCTAGTGAACATGAGAGAACTCAAGTTCAACTATGGATGTATGAAGGCCAATGACTATCATGCCATTATGGCTCAGCTGCTCCCTGTTGCCCTGCGTGGTATCCTTCCCCCAAAGGTCGGTGCCCCAATCATAAAGTTGTGCTCGTTCTTCAACGTGATCTCAAAAAAAGGTCATTGATGTGTCCATGCTGGACCAGCTACAGCGAGACATAGCCGAAACTCTCGTTAGTCTTGATATGCATTTCCCACCGACTTACTTTGATATTTCAGTGCATTTGCTCGTTCATCTTGTTGACTGAATTAGAGCCCTTAGCCCAATGTACCTGCATCAGATGTTCCCTTTCGAAAGGTTGATGAAAGTTTTCAGGAGGTTTGTTAGGAATAGATTTAGGCCAGAAGGGGGCATGGTTGAAGGATGGTCAACGCAGGAGGCCGTTGAGTTTTGCACATATTATCTGGACATCAATAGGGTCGAAGTTCTAGAATCTCATCACGAGGGAAGACTTACTATGGTTTCATACATTGACGAGCATAGGCAATCGCTGCAAACTTTGTATCCGAGCAGGTCGTATGCTTGGCTTGATAAAAAACATAAGGAGGAATTTGTCTGTTGGTTGCAATGTCGCTTGATTGGAATAGCGTTGGGTAATCAGTTGGATATCTTAGCCAAGGGACCTTCGAGTACATTGCTTAAGTAACAAGGGTATGAGATCAATGGATTTACATTTTACACAAAAAAGCAAGATGGAAAGAGCACATACAAAAATAGTGGTGTTTGTTTTGATGATCACGATGAAAACGGCAATGTGCGCGATGTACTATGGTTTCATAGAGAAGATATGGGAGCTAGACTACGGTTGGTTGAAGGCAGCTCTTTTTCGCTGCCAGTGGGTCCGGCTCGAGGAAATCACCACCGACAAAGAATGGTTCACTATCGTTGATCTCACCAAGACCGTATACAGAGACGACCCCTTCGTCCTTGCTAAAGACGTTATGCAAATCTTCTATGTAGGGGACAAAAAGACAAAAGCAAAGCTAAAAGTAGTTCTAGAAGGAAAAAGGAAGATTGTCGGTGTCGATAGAGTGACGGACGAAGAAGACTACAGGGGCTATCAGGAAATGCCTGCATTCAGGGCGAACGTACCCCTACCTATCTTTGAAGAGGGTGATGAACCTGCTTACGTCCGGCGT